GGTGTAACCCATAATCTAATTGAATATTACACCTGGTATTGCGATCTGACCACTTACCAAACCATTGAGGTTTTTTATGTTATTTCTTCCCAGTGACAAGATTTTGATATTTCCTGAAAAAGATAAACACTCCTGTTAGAGAACAGATATTTGCAAACAGATCACTAAATCACCAGGGTTTACATAGGCCTTGCAGAACTGTCACAAAGTAATGCCATATATAGTTTATGCCTGAGTGGCGAAGGCAAACAATTTTGCCCAGTATAGAGAAAAATTCTATTTTCTTTGCAGGTTAATGAAAGAAACCTCAAATGCCACTACTGTACAAGATCAATGGGAACAAACAATTTGCTTCTCATTACATAGACATTCAAGAAATATGCTAGAACATGCATGTTCATGTACGTGTACAGCTGTAGCTTGCAAGATATGAGGTAATTCCCACGAGCTACAATATACATGCAGATTCATCAAAGAGTGGAAACTTACTTAAACCATTGAGGTTGGCAATTTTCTCAATGCAGTTTGTTGACAAAGACAGTTTTCTGCAAAATCAACAGTTCCAAATGATTAGTATATAATAAAAAACAAGCCAATGAATTTGTTAGCAGTAAATATTTGAGTGAGAAATATGACCTCTATTAAAACATCAGGTAAGTTTACATCTATCTTTTTTTGTTGTGCAAGTCTTGATTCTCAACTCATTGCTCAATGACTGAGAACTTCCAAGGGAAAAAAGCGACAAGCAACAGGGGCCCTGAAAACTGGCAACAATCCTCTCAAAAAACACTCACAATAGATGTGTATGTTATCAAGCTTCATGTTATAACAGTCAAAAGGCTGATCAGGCTGATTTTTGCGATAAAAATCCCCCTCAGTCTGGGCCTTCGAGCCACTGAAGTGTGTAGCTTTTAGTCCTTTTAATGAAGGTTAAGACAATATCGCAAAACCAGCCAAAACTGCCTCAGAAATACACTAGGATACAAAATACAGCACAAGTAACTGTATTTCTTTACTTCTCTTTGTGAGTTTGGGATGCCTGTGCTGAACAGTACTTACTCGCAGCAAGAAAGAGTAGACAAGGAGGCATCCATCTTTTCTATTGGAGGATACTGTGCATACAACTTGATTTCTGTTGATTCTGAGGCTTTTTGCTCATTTTTCTTTTCCTGTGACACATTAGAAAAAAAGGCAATGGGTAAGCTCAAAATTAAAACGAACACTGAATTTACTTTTGAGGTCTGGACACATGGTTCATGCGAAGCATGATAAATAGAGTGTCATAATTATACTTTATATTAAAAAAAGGAGCAGTATATTACTTTGAACACGTCACCAACTCTCTATGAAGCTTCAAGAATTTAAAAAATAAAGTTTAGCGTTAAATGAGAACTTTGTACTCACCCAGCTCGCTAACGCGTCCTTGATTGTTGTTCCCTTGGACTACAAAAAACGAAATATAAACGTTATTTAGGTAACAAAAAATATTTTTCACTTTTGAAAACAAAAAGACTTACCATATCTGTGAAAATGTAGGCGTAGAACTTAAAATAATACACAACTTTCTTTTTCACATGCACCACAAATGGTCAAAATGGCGAATCACCATGGAAATGTGTCGCTAAGACCTGTGGGAAATAAAATATACTGTTGACACTCTGCCATGTAAGCTTGCATGAAATGTCCTGGAAATACACGACATAAATCGGTGAGTTTTTTTACTAGATTAGGACTGAGCCTTTAGAAAACTATTAGGGGAAGTTGGGATAAAAACTAGGAGTGCAAAAAAGACAACTTCCTTCATCTCCCAATCATCCCTCCTCCTCCCATCACTTTTAGGTGTGAAGCAGAAGGAGCTAACGCTTTGTACCTCTTCAATGTCTTAGCTTCTTGGAGACCCTTGGACACTTGTTTTGGGGCCACACTTGGGTTGGGACAAGGGACAAGTATCTCGCCTTTAGGACTCTCTGACCCTCGCAAAATGATGCACACATGCTTCCACAAAACCTGAATGACCCTGAATCGGATCAAGCTCCTTTGTGTCGTCGAGTAAAACTTGGGGAGGAACGTTGCGTTACGACACAAAGAACGCCCGCGTACTAGATTACAGGAAATACTGTACTGAAAAAAAAAAANTCCCCCTCAGTCTGGGCCTTCGAGCCACTGAAGTGTGTAGCTTTTAGTCCTTTTAATGAAGGTTAAGACAATATCGCAAAACCAGCCAAAACTGCCTCAGAAATACACTAGGATACAAAATACAGCACAAGTAACTGTATTTCTTTACTTCTCTTTGTGAGTTTGGGATGCCTGTGCTGAACAGTACTTACTCGCAGCAAGAAAGAGTAGACAAGGAGGCATCCATCTTTTCTATTGGAGGATACTGTGCATACAACTTGATTTCTGTTGATTCTGAGGCTTTTTGCTCATTTTTCTTTTCCTGTGACACATTAGAAAAAAAGGCAATGGGTAAGCTCAAAATTAAAACGAACACTGAATTTACTTTTGAGGTCTGGACACATGGTTCATGCGAAGCATGATAAATAGAGTGTCATAATTATACTTTATATTAAAAAAAGGAGCAGTATATTACTTTGAACACGTCACCAACTCTCTATGAAGCTTCAAGAATTTAAAAAATAAAGTTTAGCGTTAAATGAGAACTTTGTACTCACCCAGCTCGCTAACGCGTCCTTGATTGTTGTTCCCTTGGACTACAAAAAACGAAATATAAACGTTATTTAGGTAACAAAAAATATTTTTCACTTTTGAAAACAAAAAGACTTACCATATCTGTGAAAATGTAGGCGTAGAACTTAAAATAATACACAACTTTCTTTTTCACATGCACCACAAATGGTCAAAATGGCGAATCACCATGGAAATGTGTCGCTAAGACCTGTGGGAAATAAAATATACTGTTGACACTCTGCCATGTAAGCTTGCATGAAATGTCCTGGAAATACACGACATAAATCGGTGAGTTTTTTTACTAGATTAGGACTGAGCCTTTAGAAAACTATTAGGGGAAGTTGGGATAAAAACTAGGAGTGCAAAAAAGACAACTTCCTTCATCTCCCAATCATCCCTCCTCCTCCCATCACTTTTAGGTGTGAAGCAGAAGGAGCTAACGCTTTGTACCTCTTCAATGTCTTAGCTTCTTGGAGACCCTTGGACACTTGTTTTGGGGCCACACTTGGGTTGGGACAAGGGACAAGTATCTCGCCTTTAGGACTCTCTGACCCTCGCAAAATGATGCACACATGCTTCCACAAAACCTGAATGACCCTGAATCGGATCAAGCTCCTTTGTGTCGTCGAGTAAAACTTGGGGAGGAACGTTGCGTTACGACACAAAGAACGCCCGCGTACTAGATTACAGGAAATACTGTACTGAAAAAAAAAAAAAGAATGAACAAACATGAAAACAGCAACATTCCACAAAAATTTTTTTGAAAAGCTTATGAAAACATTGATTTTATTGCGCTTTCAGGTCCTATTGATCCTTTTTATGTTAAGTTTCCTTTTATCATCCTTATTGCGTGATGAAGTAAAATCAAAGTCACGCTATAATCTGTCTTAACCGGAACTCTCGCTAGTTCATGTTCAATATCGGTGTTGTAGCGTTTTTGAAGGCCCTCTAGTTCTATTGCAATTACATATTCACACTTTCAAGGTAATAAGCAATCTTTGCAACGGCTATGTTAGTGATCCCTTGTTGGCCACCTTCGCGTGTGCGAGCTATAACAACTGCACTTTTAGAAGCCTGCATCGTGATCCCGGCATTGCATCTCCTTGCCAGAACCATTTTGTTGTCAATATCGCGTAAGAAAATATAGCCCTCATTTTCTACATGGATATCTGTTGAAAACGCGGTAAAATCCTTTTTCCTGAAGCATTCAGCGATAATCATTCCTTCTCCTGGTGTTAACATTAAAACGTGAGGGTTTTCTTGCGTTGTCCACATATTTCCGTTCTCCAAGCCAATGATGCAAGCTTTGTCGATGTTGGCTTTACCCGAGCTACCTTTCGACTGAGCAATAAGATTGTCGATATACTCGTTCCATGACATCTTGAAAATGCTTCTAAAAGCTGCTGTCAAACAATTACCCCAAAATATAAGGATGACAAGTACCATATAAGTATACAACCACGTCACAGTTTTACAGTAGAATGTCCGGCGAAGGCAGAACTTGCCGAATGGTCCGTGAGGGTGGGGGAGTGGGAAAGGGTGTACTGTACCGAGTACGCTATACAAAGTACGAGCGACAAGGGAGGGGTCCTATTTTCTTTCTGTGAAGGTTTTTAAGGTCTGAAAAGGGGTTATGGAATGGGTGTAATTTTACCCCTGGGGGCGTGTACTCAACAAAGTTTTATACGGTGAGGTTCCGCCCCGAGGTCCAACCCCTTACCCCGGGGGGGTACTCCCATACATTACCTATACGGGTATGTGCCGCCCAACGGGGTCGTGATTTTTGAAGCTCCTGATTTGGAACGGGTATCCATTTCAGAGGCGTTTTCTAGAACGGGGTATGATGATGATGATGAACTTTATTTATGTGTCGATGTATTTATATTTCGAACGCACGAAAGCTCCAGTTTTGTAAGCAGCCATTTGATACTCTTGTTGCACCCTGTGTTTTAGCGTGCAGGGCGGGCGTATTTTGGCGCGAGCCGCGAGCGCTGACTCCGCCACCTTGGATAAAGGCTGGAACGAGTCTTTAATATACCCGAGGGAGATGAAGACGGGCTCAAAAGAAAGGGCGGGGGGAGGAGAAGGAAAATCGTTAGCTTACGAGCATGGTTCTATGCGTGGTGTGAGATCTTGCGTCATAATTAACCGCATTGTATCCAGATGCACAGGAAACGTACTCCGAGCATTTATTTCATGTATAAGTCGAACAAATAAAGAAATATCTTTTAAAAAAAAACAGGGCTATTTCAATTTACAAATTTTCTAGAACGGAGTATAAAAAATTGGCCCATTTCTAGAACGGGGTATCAGTTTTGGGGCGAATTCTAGAACGGGGTATAAAAAATTGGCCCATTTCTAGATCAGAGAACGGGGTATCAATTTTAGGGGAATTTTTTTTTAGAACGGGGTGCCAATTTGGTCTCCCGGGCAGCACATACCCACCCAAATGATACCCAAGTGCGCCCCCCGGGCCCCATACCCATTTATATACCATTTTCCACGAAAAAGGTACCCCTTTCAGATAAGCTTGTTTAGAAATTAGCATCCCTTTTACCTATCTTAAATGCACTCTCTTAAATATGAATCAATCAAAACCAGAACGTTTTCTTGACTTTTTAAACCATAAAATGCATCTGTTAGCCATCGTAGGCCTTTTTATAAACACAAATGAAAGATTTCCCTACCCTTTCATATACCTGAAGTCTAAAAAACGTACCCCTTTCCAGAGGAGCCTCCCTGTATAGGCCATTATAAGAAGTACCTCTCCTCCCCTCCCTGTGAACTTGACTGTACGCGAAATAGAATATAAATGTCTTTCTTTACCCTGGGCCGCATCCAAAAAGAAGTATTTCACATTATGTTGTGAACTTTGGAAACACTTGATATGAAAGAATAGTACTATCTGCCATAAGAACAATCAAAGAAACATATCAAACTTAACAGATACCTTTATTCACAAATATTCTGTACAAACCACTTATAGTAAAAATAAATATCCTACAGAAAAAAATGTATTTATTTCATGTTGAAATTAACTGATTTTAAAAAAATTCTATTATAGTTGTTTCTGATACAAAACATCATAATGTCCAGGTCTATACAGTAGAAAGACTAGGGGGCGTGAACCATCCTCTGGGAAGTCATGATGATTGACAGACGAATCTCCGCCCCTATCCATGTATACCACACGGACACAAACACCAAGGGCATCAGTCAGTGCTATGATATGAATATGGTCGCTTTCTTTGGCCATTGGTTCTACTTCCTGATGAGAGAGGAAGAACATTCAAAGCATTGACAAGGACAACATTAATAATTAGCTTCCTGTGGAATGCCCAAGCCTAAAAATTAATAATAATAAGCAGGGATAATGTGTACCTGGCTACAGAATTCTTTAATCGACCTCTCTCCTTCTATGAAATTCTGGAAAAAGTCCGACTTTCTCTGAAGTTGAGCTGATGTTAAAAGTCGTAGATATACAACAATGTAGTTTGAAAGGCCATCATCACAGAATATCTGAGAAAACAAAGAAAACTGTCATTTAAATAATTCTTGAAAGTTAGATAGCTTCACAATAAACTAAATATATGAAAAATTTCCTCAGTACTGGTAAACCTGTTACTACACACAGTATGCCCCAAAACACAAAAGCTATTGTGTAACATTTTTTTGTAATGCTGCATAATTAAAGGCATTGTAGCAGACATTCGAAAAGGGAGAGAATACCTTGGGTTCTAAACCTTTGTTCTTGTACAGGGCAGGAAGTTTTGAGGTTGGCCATAAGATGGGTAGCCATCTTGAGCGAGTGTCAAATCTACTTAGGGAGCGGGGGACAGTACACATGAAACCAAGCTGGCTGCCCATACCTCATGATCTTCGAAAAAATAAGGGAATGTGAACAGTCTAGCTAGTCTAACCATGAATCAACACATCTCCACCCAAAGGCCAAATTCATGAAGGGTGAAGCATACAAAGAAAAACAGAGAACCATTGTAGGGAGGAGAGGAATTGGTTTATAGGTGCATGGCTACATGGCCATAAGAGGGAGGTAACAGAACAACTGCAACAAAAAAGACACTGTTTGGTTTTAGGCAGAATTACTGGTGTAAAAATTGCTTTTGGTTAGAATTAATTATGTGTTAATTCAAAGAGGAAGGACAGTAAATTAATTGTTGTGGCTCAAAATATGTATTTAAGTTGTAACTGTTCATCAGCAGGATACCTAAAATGTGTGCAATTCCATCATTTGTTTCAGCTTCATTAAATCCTATACCAACAATAGAACATTTTAGGATCAGGGAGCCACCCGCAATGTGAGTACCTGACAAGGCCTATGAATAGGAAAACAACCCAAATAAAATGCCTCATTCTGATTGGTTGAAGTTTAATTTTTACTCATACCTTTTCAAGCTCCTCAACAGACTGTTCTTTTCCAACAGCTTCAATTGTTTCCATGAACTGGTATTCAGACAAAAGGACATATATTTAATGAACTAACACTCGATGAGAACCACGTCTGAGTAAAAAAGGTTACATAGTTAGTAGAGCTAAGCATTTTGTTTTGACTCAATAAACCAGTAAGCTCAAAAAGTGAACACACATGAACATAATGGCCAGTCCATGGGTGAAAAGAATTAAGTCTGTTATATAATGCAATCACAAGTAGACTGTGGTCTAGGAAAGGCTTTATATTTCTCCATCTTCCTCAAAAACTCAGACAGTCTATTGAGAAGTATCCCCTGGAAACACACAAACATACCACCTCTGCTAGTTAAGTGGTGATTAGCAACTGACAACTCCCCTCAATATCACACAGATGTTTTGGAGATTAAGACATTAAAGGATAACATTTCTTGTTTTGTTTTGTTTTTTTTTTTAAAGGGAAATTTCACTTATTAGCGCCACAAAAGATACAGGCATATTTCGGACATTCATGGTATGGCAATTTGACCATTTTGGTTAACTTACAACTTGATGAAAGTCCTCAATCGTGAAGGAAGGGAATCCAAGAGAGACAAGTTCATCTTTACTTTGAGATGCTAAGGAATGAAATCTGTTTAAAGACACAACGAAAAGTGACAGCATTAATTAAGTCTAAACACTATAGCGTAGACCTTAAAACTAGTCTCCCATGAATCCATTCTTTGTGTTGTTGCACAATGCTCCCCAGTGTATTTATTTATTTATTTATTTATTTATTTACCAATTAAGTCTTCACTCGCAACAGAGTATTACAGACTGCTTTAAGAGAAGCATTTTCATTTTGCGTGACCACACAGAGAAATGCTGCAGGAAATTGTTGTCTACAACGGATGGTGGAATGTTTAAAAAAAATTGGTCAAATGTTGTATTTTAATAGCCAACGTTCGATATATTAAAATTCTAATGACTCTGAGGCTTTCTGTTCCTTTTTCTATATTTGGTTATCTTTGTGCTCAAGCCTCTTCTGGAAATTGCAAGACAACAGAGTCATAAAAAATTTGCAATTTTTACCCTAAAGCCTGTTCGGAGTCATGTTTGAATTTTAATATATTGAACGTGGGCTATTACAGTGACTACAACTGTACATTTAAGTACAAGGTGATGAAATATCATTGACATGGTGTACATAATATCACACATGAGAGTTTCATGTCCTGGAGTCTCTTTGTCAGAAGCTAATGAATCCCCCTTAAAGCTAAAGCCATGCCCCAAACAAAAGCAGAGAATTACACAGTTTTCAGTAACTTAAAGCAGTGAAGAGTGTTGTCATACCCCTTGAATGATGTCCCAGTGCTATGGTAAAGTGTCAGTTAACTTTAGAAGCACTCTAATTAAGTTTTTGTACATTTGTAAAACACTTGTTTGATCGCAGTCAACTGGTTTGCAGATATGGTGTACTTATGCATCCCATCTGCTGGGGTATTTTTTGGTCATGCAATATAAATTGCCATGTCTCACCTCTCATATTCCTTTTGATTGCCAATCAGTTCCTGAAGGTAAGAAAATCCAAAAGCTCTGTAGAAACAGTTCCCATCACCTCTTGTTTTTCTCACATGTGAGTATGTCAAAGCTAGGTCCTGTAGTTAATTAAGAGAAAAGAAAATGAAAGCAATCAACAACTTCTCTGGGTGGGAGGGATTACTCTCTTTCCTAAGCCCTAGCCTTGTGTTTAACCTATCATATTAGTGTTGATTAAGTGGGTACAGGTTTAAACTTATAGTAACATTTTCAAGAAGCTTACAGAATTAGTATTTAAGTACTATACTAAACAAGAAATGGATAAGTTTAGTTTTGTAGTGTACCTTGATTTTAGACTGGTATACAAAATCATCCATAGCATATTCTTTTTCTAGGCAGGTGATGTCCATTTTGTCACTAACAAGTTTGTGTATATCTGCAATCTAGGAATAAAATGACAAATCAAATGAAGATGACAACTGTTGATATTACACTTAAACTCTCACTCGTAGCCAGTGGAAAATCCAAGTCTTTGTGGTAGCTTACAAGAGTCAAACTGTGGGGGTGCCTTTCAGGAAAAAGTCTGATACATCTACAGTAAAGAATTACATAGAGGATTTTCTCTACTATTGCCCGGTTAGCAGGCGCATGGAATCACTAAACTTCAGCCGCACACTCCATTTTAGGGTAGTCCATATAGGTAGTCCATTGGCATACTCCATGCACTGGGAGCCAGTGTTTTGTCCACCCCCTATAAAACCTAGTGAATAAGGTCCATTTAGGGTCGTTATACCAGCTGGCTAAACATGAACTAAAACTTGATTTTTCCTCGATTTTATTTCCTAACCCTATAATCACTTCACTTCAGAGTCATTCAGTGTTCGGCACCCGTTCAGCATTTTGGAAAATACACCTGCTGTATACTCTGAGCAGATAAATGGAAGCAACAAACACAACAATCAGACCATCTGTGAAGTTGTTGCTTACAAAATGTTTAAAAAATAATGGAAGGTTCTAAAACCGTCCACTCCAAAAGTGGTTGTGGTCACTGACATGTATGGGTGGTGGCTAAATTTATGATGTTCAAATAATAAATTATAGGGCTTTGACTGTGGTCCACCAGGGGAATCCCATTTGAAAAAGATGTAAGGATGCTGGTTATCTCACTTATGGGTGTAAATAGATTTTGGTCAAACATAGCCTTACAGTGTTCAGGACTGAAAGCCCAGGGGGGGTATTCCCTATATTATGACGGGGAGGCTCTGTCCCAAAGGGGTGCCATTTTAAAGCTCCAGGTATATTGAAAGGGTACAAGGGATTTCACTAGGTGAGGTATATTAAATTTGTCAGTAAAAGGTATATGATATGGAAGGGGTACTTCTGCTAAAAATGGCATATAAATGAGTAAGAGGTAGGGACTTAGGGTGAAAGCTTTCTCATATAAAATTTTAGTGAGTACCCCAAGGACTAAAGCCTCTACTTTTACCTATACAAGTATTGCTTTGGGTTGTGTGTCAACAATTTGTCATAATATATTAAACAAATGAGGCACTATTAAGTAAAGCATTAAATTTTGATGTCTTAAGCAGTATGAAAATCAATATAGCTCTTATTTGATTGTCTGTTTTTATGCAGTCCTCTTGTGAGGTCAAACAAAGCCTGAGCGCAAGCCATGTCCAGATTGGACTCCCTAAGAATTCAGCTGTCTGAAAAGCATCCCTGTTGCATATCAAATGGAAATGTATTCCTAGGGTGATAGTACCTCTTTCTGGATATTATCCACCTGGGCCATGATGGCCTCATCATAGTTTCCAGTGCCTACAGATGGGAAAAAGGGGAAGTGTTAGAGGTGGCAAAAGGTCAAGTCTAGACTTTTCAAGATCAGGAGACTTTTCTCCTGATCAGAAGACCAAAAATCCAAGCCTGTGTCCTACCCAGCCACTAATTACTCAACAGGTTAATCCACAAAAATTAATTGAGGTTTCCTTAGGGAGATGGGGCACAGTTCCCAGGGTTGTCACTACGATTTCGAGTTGCCAGGAAAATACAACAAGTAGGCAGGGAATCATACAGCTAGAGATTTCTTTTGGTTGAATTTTTCTTCTATTTTCCAATGAGAGTAGCCAGGAACCGACCCAGGAACCACATTCATATCAGTTGGGGGAAACCCCCAGCCCCTGGCTCTTAATGACGGCCCTTCAAGTTCTGACCAAATTTGTAATAGAACACTTTTTGAACCAATGTGTGGTTTCAGAAAATATCCATACCTCTCATGGATCAAAGATCAATAGAGATTTCAAGGGGAAGTAGGGTCTGGAAGGCAGAAATTTTTAAAGAGAAGTACAAACCCAAAACTGAAACAGTCTTGAAGGCTGGCATCTGATTTTGTATATAATGAAACAAGGGAAATTTAATCGCAGAATTTACTTAGGATATGAACCTTTGAGGTAAGTAAAAGCAACTTGGAAAATGTTGTGACATGTTGTTCAAATATTACTATTATTATTGCAGTCAAAGATAAAAAAAGCATCATTGAAATCGTGAATTACGTTTACATATGTTATCACTAATAGGCCATTTTACAGTTACGTGCTCAGTGCACTGGCATTTGAATAGAAGCGTGGCTGGCGGTGACATTGTTTTGTTACAAACCTTCCTGCATGTGCAAATCGTGGTATTCTCATGCTAACAACCCCGTAAACATGATCATTTACATATGAAAAACAAGAAGGTTTGTAACCAAACAAGATCACCGCCATCCTCGCTTCTATTCAAAGGCCTGGGCACTGGGCACACAACTGTTATTAAATGGCCAATTTTAAAACAGTTTATTATCAAAACGTCCTCACAAAAACTTGATTTCTGAAACTCCATGTTCGTATGTCTTTAAACAGTTACACTTAATTTCACATAAAGGGTAACCCTAAATATTAATAATTTTTAATTCATTGATTTGTCACAATGAATTAACCTGACAGCTGACGTCGATCAGCATCATTCTTTTGCGAATCAAACCACAGCTTTAACGAAAACGGTAAATAAAAAAAGCTTGAAATAAAGCATCCGTGTTCATTCTACGAGATGGAAACGGCGTAAAAACACCTGATTACCCACAATGTCCGAAGAAAATGAAAGTTACAACAGGCAAAAGTTCCTTCCTTACCTTGATGATCCGCCATCTTTGATAAGCAACTTGGTAGCCTCGCTTCTTTGATTAACCGACTTAATCACAGGAACCCCACGCAACTTTAATTTTCGCCGTTCGAGCCGAAATTTTGTGACTTGTACTTTAGGTGAATCGAAGGCAACTTCACTAGCTTTTCTCCAGGACGGTGTTCAGTCGAATCGTGCAGCTTAGGTCAACGAAGAAGTTGCTGAAAACTTTGCTTTTATTTATTTATTTGAGTTTACTTGATTTCATAGCATTTTTGGATCCAGAGGAAAGTATGGAACAGTGATGGAGGGCGCTTTCCATTTAGGAAAAAAACCCGGAAATTTCGGTGGGAGCAAAAGTGGAATTTCCGATTGGTAAAAAGTTGTTCCATTTGGTCGTAAACACCGGTACGTCGCGGTGCCCGACCGTGGACCTGGAACTGGTGCAAACTACGAGAAAGGTAAATGGAACACGACATTGAACATTCCGTTCGGAAATTCCAACCGGAAAAACGGGCCCACCTTTTTAGATTTTTCCACTTTTTCTGGGAATTTTCCAGTGGGACGAGCCGACGAAACGTGTTCCATTTACGGCCGAACCAGAAATTCCGAAAATTTTGACTAAATGGAAAGCGCCCGGAATTACAATTTTGGTGCAGTTTTCGATCAAAATCATAAGGCTGAAAGAGAGTCATGTGGCTTGCCCTTAAAGTCTTCCAGGGGCTTCAGTGAGTTCAAGCACTGCCAGAGGAAATTGTTTACATATACACCTGCAAAGTCGACTGGCGGATCAAGGGGAACGTTCGGGGTGTCGCCTGCACCCTCTCCTATCCCGATTGACTTGTCTCCCCGAATTTTTGAGAGAAAGAAATATTTTTCCCCTGAATTATTGATCTCTCCTGCTAAATAAGTTCTTCACTGTTGTGCTAATTACGTACGAAACGACGCAAGTGTAGGTGCACCGCACCTTTTGCTTGAAAATGCTTTTGATATTCCACTTTATACAGCTTTATACCGCAATACATAAACAGAGGGTCATGAAAATGGATAACGTCGTTGTCAAGTAGTCACAAAGGGTCTTTCTCTCTTTTTCGAGCCGTTTGACGTGGTCCGCAAAAGGCTCGAAAATGGCAGATTTGCTTTTCGTCCGGACCATGCAAGCGCTATTGCGGCGCACGTGAGCTCCACGTGTAAACCAGCCCTGACTATGCCACATCTGTCACATCCCCATATAACAGAAGTCTTGCACCGGCCTATAAAGTTACGCCAATTAGTTGTATCGCGTAGTTGTTCACAGTCAGTTCTTACTGTTTTGACCAAGGAGCCGATTCAAACAGTCCATACTCAAAAAAAGAGTTCAATAACTTAACATCAGTAAATTAAACACGTAAAACAACAACCGCTCATTTATCTTGACTACGGTAGTGGGAATGAAGCACGTTGCATTATGTTGTCAGCTGTATTTGTGCACATGTAACATCATGTACATTATTTTTTAAAGTTCTCAGCGTAAAGATAAATTTCAGCTGATTCCTTCCTGCTTGCTTGCGGCTTGCATTCTTTAACTTGCTTGAAATAACCTTGCAAAATTTTGATAAAATCTGAAAATTTAAAAAAATAAATCTGAAAAATTAAAAAGTAAATAAGTAGAAAAGTCAGCAATACAGCTCCCGGCCCAGTTATTGCAAATACCTGGCAAATTGAAATCTTAGTGCCTTGTTGGACAAAGCTTAGAGAAATTCTGGAGAAATTTAGAACCTTCTTTTATTTTTCAAAACTTAAGGTGGCTGTAATGTCCCTTTCCTTTCTGGTGAGTGCTAAGTTTTAAGGAAAGATTTTTGGTTTACTTGACATGTGTATGTTCCCTTTCCTCACCTTGTGTGCCATAACCATCCCAGAGCTTACATAGAAAACGCCCACCAGGCTTCAACACATCTTTGCTGAATTCAAAGGCTGATTCACAAAGGTTCTGCGGATAAGATGGCTTAAATTTAATAACTCATATCTCTTCTTTAATAGACCTTTCTTTCTATAAGTGGAGTTATTACCAGAGCCCGGAGCTCTTCTTTCATATCAGCAGTGTATTTTATTATTAACCTAATTCTCTGACATTATGGGCATCAACAACTGCAGTGAATACAAAACAAAGCACATTTTAAGCCCTTTTCAGCAAATTTCCGTGAGAATCATCGATAACACTAATAAAGTATTTCTCTTTCTCTTTTTTAGTGTTCAGCGCGTTGGACTCACAATCCGGTGGTCCCTGGTTTGAGTCCCGCTCTGGCCACTTGCTGGATTTGTTCTTGGTTGTCCCGAGTTCAAATCCTTGGCCACACTTGTAAATAGCCAACTGGTTGCCACCTGCCAGTTGGGGTTTTTAATCCTGTTATGTTGCATTAATTTAAAGTATTTGTTTCTAAGTATTTAAGTGGGGTGCCTGTAAACTAGCTGGATAAGCTACGTGCACTTTCCAATGTAAGCAAGCCTTTAAACCCCTTTTAAATAAATTCTTTAATAATATTATTCTGAAAGCCTCCCTAAACCTGTTTCAGCTAATGCCTCTCCCTCTCCAAAGCTAAAAAAATTCCAGTTAACTCCTGTGATATTGTTAGGCACACATTACTTTTCGGAATCTCTAATAATCTCTTATTGGTAAATTGATCTATATATGACTAACCAAGATGGCTTCATGGTTTATAGTATGGTTTCCTGTGGCATTTGGAGCCATGTCACTGAAAATAAACAAAAAAGATGTAACTGTACACAGGATTATTAATTCAGCTACGATATAAAAAAAACTGCTTGAGGTTTAGTTGTTTCACACTTGATTGGCTTGTTTGTCAGACTAACACACTAGCATGCCAAAAATATTTCAGGTGTTCATGGTTTAAAAGCAATATTAAAGCAGTTTAGTCAATTCCGGGGTATAGGAGCTCAAAGATACAAGCAATGTCATGTGTTTATAACAGTGTTTAACCACTGTTTTGTTAATTATGTGCTGCTTTCACCCCTCTATCTAGTTATGGCCCCAGCGCAAAGTATTAAAGAAGGGCTATGAAGCAAGTAGGAAAATGAGAATTCATATTTATAGCACAAAACAAGAATACAAGGATAAGCCCAATGTTTCCTATTGACATAGCCTTCTTTTTGGATGACTGGATCAAGTAGGTGCCTCACAAGTAAGTTATTTGACTGGCATCCAAAACTTTATTGCTTTTTTTTGTTCACGTACCGGGATGAGCATTATATTAAATATATAAGGATTTCCTAGTAAAAAACATTACAACCAAATTAAATTTCATTCTTTATAGTAAGTTGTGAAATGCAAACTAGCCAATTATTAATGCAGAGTATGAAATGACCTGTGTATGAAAAAGAAAATAATCTAAATGGTACAATATATATAATACCATTACAATCAGCTCCAGTTAAAAAAGAAAAAAAAAAGCAGCAGTCTGTTTTACCGTACCTCATTATAACATCAGCTCCGGCTGGTGGTAGTAGTGAGAGTATTTTCCTCTGTGTGCTGGCATCTGTAAAATCACATCTTGATAAAATGGTTGCTCCAAGAATGTCTTCAATGTCTAGTCAAGAAAGACAAAATTTGTAACTTACATGTAGGCCATCAAGTTATGTGGTTTAAAAAAGGTTTAAAGGCTTGTTTATAATAGAAAGTGCACTTAGCTTATCCAGCTAGTTTGCAGGCACTCCACTCAAACACCAATACTTAGAAACAAATAAATTATTCAAATACAACATAACAGGATTAAAAACCACAACAGGCAGGAGGCGACCAGTTGGCTATTTACAGGAGCGGCAGAGGATTTGAACTAGGGATGATCAAGAACAAATCCAGCAAGTGGGCAGAGCAAGACTCGAACTCGTCGAGTCGGATGCACTGACCACTTGGCCATGCTGGCTCCATCAAATTTACCTTACTGGCGTTATCTCCTTCATCGTTGTAAATATGTCAGTAAATTTGACAGAAATGCAAATAACCCATAGTAATATTTGATATAAGTAGGGGACATAGATGATGTCAGAGTGTCGACACTCCGACATCATCGATACTTTAGCTACTGCATACACCAATGCTAATTAATCTAATTTATGAATTCCATCACACATTCAAAAATAAACAGCTAGTTCTCCTCCCTTAACCGTGCTGTTTATCCTTTTTTCATGTATTTCCATTACTTCTATTAGTACAAATTATGGTCAGTGATCTATACCAAACATAAAATTTACAATGAACAACAATTTCTAAATTCAAAAGATTAATTTTTATATACCTAACAAATCCACTGCAATGACAAGACCTTTCTGCTGACCTAGACCAAAGAGAAACATTGAATATTTTGACACATCCTCATCTTCAAACTATATTTTTTATGGTGAACTAGAGGGTCAAAACCCAGCCTTAGAGCAGGCTAGCTCACAATCTAGTCCAAGACCAGCTTTTTTTTGGAGGGGGGGAAGGGGGGCTCCCACTCCTTTTTTTCTTGGCTTTCTTCTTAAGTCTTTTCATTTGCAAAAATATTAGGCATTGCTGCAAAATTTCCACCTATTTCTCCTGCTTTCCACCCTTGTAGAAATCCCATCTCCCACCCTTTCCTCTTCCACCTCCTGCACTGCAACGTATCACTACCTGCTCTGCCTGCAGGCTGAGGTTCATAAAATAAAAAGGCCATAATAAATAACTTATTAACCTTGTCTGTTTGGTCATTACAGGGAAATATCGGACCTCAGCCTTGATGTACATTGTATCGCTTGGTCAATGCATTGATAAGCCTCGGTCTGAGATTTCCCTGTGATGACCTCACTCTCAGTTAATAAGTGGTATGAATGATCATGATTCAATAATAATTCTTTTGCTAGAAGTTTATTATTATAATGTACAAACCAGCCTGCCTTGTCAATACTCGGTTAACAGCCACTTGAGTCCATGAACCTGAAGGTAATGATTAAACAAAACAGACAACTTAAAACTGGGTAAAATGTCATTTGACTTGAATAAATGCATGTTCTATATTTGCAGCTATAACTGCAATTCCAGACATGTTTTATCGTAAAAAACCAGGAATGGAGGTGCCTAATTCAAATGTAAAAATCTAAACCCAAAGTACAAGTAAACAGTCAATTGAATTTCTTTATCAATGTTACCCTATAATCATCTAGCCTGTGACCGCAGACATTTGTGGTTACAGGTTAATGATCATCAAGTTTGTCTTTAAAAGTAAAGTAACCTGAACTGTTATCAAGAAGTTACCTGGACTTGCACCACAGTCAATCACGACTCTTCCAGGTTGAAGGAAATGAAACCTGTCATCCAGCTCAATCAGCTTGTAGGCGCTACGGCAAAGATAGTTGTTTTCAAATGCCTTCTTCACAAACAAGTCCTAATTCCAAGTATAAAATTTAATAAAATGTCAAATGATTTAAAATTAAGCTGAAATTTCAGCGGTTCAATTTCTATTGCCAGTACGCAAAGTCAACACTGACTCCTAACTCATCAATAGTTACTGTCTCATATTATTGATTGCTCTTACCGTTTGTTGCCTCTTCAGCCATCTGGAAGAGCTGCTTCCCTTACTGGCAGTTCTTGTCACAACTCTGAAGTTATACATGAAAATTAAAAGAAAATGCTTATGCTATCGTTCTATTTAACACAATGTACCAGTAATACATGAAAAATTGGCTTTCATAGCTCTCATTGGGGATAGGACATTTTGTAATATTTGGCAGTGGTTCGCCTACAAATCTGGGCAAGTCGTTCCTATAAGACCAATCTGACAGCATCAAGTATTATATTAACAGTGAAAACGTCTCACTTCTGGTTGACATTCGTCACTCAAAAACTCCTTTGCTTAAACTCCCTGCTACAGAGAAAAAATCATGTTGGCTAAGTCTCTATTAGTCAAAGATTTCACTGTGTAGTGACCATCTCAGATTTTGCCAATATATCAAGAAAGCCTGCAAGAACTCTCCCAAATGCTTAGCTTCCTGATTTTTGAGAGAGAAGACTAGAGTCAAGCAGTGTTAGATAGGCTGTTGGTGCAAAGCTAAAACTACCCCCACCTATGGTTCAACATCCTAAACCAGAATAAAAATCTCATTTCGGGAGTGATTGTTAACCATTTCCAAAAATCTGGACAATCAGGAAGGTAAAAGGTGCTCCTGACTTCCTCACTTATAACCTAAACTAAATTATCTCAAATTAATAAAGGTAATAGCACTGAGTGGAGTCCAATTCGGTCTGTAATCATACAAGTGATAAACAAAATCAAAGGACCACTTAGCGGGAGTCCGATTTGTTTAATTAATAAGGAGTATGATTACAGACTAAATTAGATGACACAAAGTTCTGTTACAATTAATCATAACCATACCAATCTTTGTGATATTTTAGGCTTTTTTCTACACAAAACACAAGAAATCCTGAGAATCTTTTTTGCTAGCAGTGAAAAAAAAAAAGCCATTTAAGTACAAGCATGCAATGGTGTGCACTGTCCAATTACTTAGGCATGATGAATACTGTCCTGTTACACTGACCTATTAGTGCTGAAATCAGGACAGTTGATAGCCAATCAGATTTGAGAATTTTGTCATAGTTATGATTATAAAGGATGTCTATGATATTGATTTTTCATTTAATCATAACTATAACAAAATTGTCAAATCTGATTGGCTATCATGATCAACTGCCCTGATTTCAGCCTTAATTGGACAGTTTAATAGGACAGTACGCGTCATGCATAGGTAATTGGACAGTATGCGCCATCATGCGTGCGCTTAAATGGCTTTTTTTTTTTCACTGCTAGCACAACAAAATTTCGGATTTCTTGTGTTTTGATTTAAAAAGTAGCCTATTATGTCACAAATTTTGTTAAAGTTATGATTAATTGGTAACAGAACTTCGTGTTGTCCAATTCGGTCTGTAATCATACTCGTGATTAAACAAATCAGACTCCCGCGATTTTGTTAATCACTCATATGATTACAGACCGAATTGGACTCCACTCAGTCCTGTTACCATTACTAATAGTTTGGAAAAATATAACATGAATTTTCTTGGAATTTATGATCATCAGTTTTTCTGAGCTCCCCTTGTCTGAAGTGTACAAAGTACAATTTATCCAGACTGTCGCTATCAAATTAAAGCAAGTATGTCAATGTCCTTACGCACAAGATCCTTCAGTCACTGTTTTGATATACTATATTTTATGCTGTGCAAAGACATTTTGTATTTCCACTTTCTTTGATAATTACTAAATCACACTTTGCAACAACTCCACTTTGTAGTCAGAGAGTAACGTCTTTCTTAGCAGAAACCAGAGACGATCTCAACAAAACTCTTAAGAGATAAAAAATTCATCTATAGTACGAAACAAAAAGACCAGCAAGATAACTCTGAAATACCTTGAAAATAAGAATTTCTGCAAATAACTGTGAGCGAAGCTTTCACCACGAATCATTGAAAATTGTACTGAAAATTAGAAAATCCGCTGACCGAATCACGCAATCTCTACCATATATGGCTTGCTCTAATGCCAATCATTCCCTTCTTAGCCAATCAGACGCGTTATTTTCCTCTAAAGCCAACCCATCAGGCCCGCAAAACTCAAATGTGCTTAGGAGAGCTCAAAATTTTTCTTTTGCGATTTGTTAGGACAGATTATTTCTTTCCGAAAAATCACTCGAACACGTAAATCACTGTGGGAATTCAGGATCAAGTGTAGATTATTCTGACGAAATTTGGAATAATTTGAGCTGGTAGTTTTGGAGAAAATCATGCCCGAAGTAGCCACCTTGACACTCATGCGACTGGTAACTTAGGAGGAAGTCTATTGAACATCACGGCATTGTGAGCCAGTTGGACGCACGAGCTGCGTGGCCGGCGGAATTTTCGTGTTGGAAGAAAACTTTTTGACCATTTTCTCTTGACATCACTGTCTGACCACAAATTTTCGTCACAAACCTGCTCCAGGATCTCAGATTTGTTATAGTTGAAATCGTGGCCGGTTTACGCGCGTGTTTGGGAGAGTTTCGCGGTCGAGCACCGCACTCTCGTAGTTTGCCAACTCCATGCCCTTGCTGAATAGGAAACCGTTTTCACCAACAAAACCTCCACCAGATCTCAAGCCTGAAGAAGAAGTCTTCGTTTGCCGTCATACAAATGAAGTTTTTCGCGATTATAGGTAAATTTAACCCCTTGTTGCAGTATTTCTATATCCGGTACACTGTCATTCATTTTTGACCGTTCACGGTTTCACCTACTGTTGTAAAACACCGCCATTTTTCGTTTCAGGTCCTTTTTTGAGCGTACAATTTTGTGTAACAGCCTGTTATGGAGCTGCAAATATACTGGCAAGAGTGGATTAACTTACCAAGAAGCACATGATTCTGAAAAGTCGATCAGAAAACAAGCCCAGAGTCTCCCTGAGCCTATCCAACGAGCGGTACTGACTCTGGTCCACCACACTCAGCGTGGCCGGCTAGCTAATTTATGCGATGAAGTGTTTTCCTACATGAAGGATCACTACCAGGAAGGCGAAGAAGTTGAAATCCAGCATCTTTCACAGAAGTAAGTCAGGCTTTTCGTAGTGGACGAGGCCTTTTCGGAAATGGGACCACTTTTCGGGGGAATGGGGCAGATTTTAGCTATGGTGTTGGTTGAAGGTGATCGTACCAAGACGTCGTGTAGTATAGTGCATCACATGCCATTCAGCGGGCGTCTTCTTTCATATTATGCAAGTGTAAAGAAGCAAAATCTCTCTTTCTCTCTTTATATCCTTTCTTTTTCTTACGTAAATTAACTAAGGGGGTGCAAATTGGCCAGGGGTGGGGTGTGGGGGACATTTTGGCCGAATAAGTTGTTTTGATGGGATTTCAGGCAGTTGTGGTTTGAAACAAAGAGGGCAGCCATATTGTTTCACTGGCTTATTCCTAAGTTCCCTACTTATTTTAATTTTCAATTTTATTTTAATCATTTCTTAGCTATTTTGAAGGGTAATTTGCATTTTTGATTGACAGCTGTCAATAAAATAGTTCAGTGTTTTAAATTTTTTAACTTTTGAACATTCAAGGTAGATTTCTAAACTGAGAAACGTAACATATTTCTCTGATAACTTTATTTTTGAGCTTCGAAATAAGAAAAGTCGATGATTAACTGTAATTTTGCAATATTTAAAGGTTTTTGACAGTTTATGTTTGCAGTGCAGCTTACAAAGGATTTCATTTTAAATATATACCATTACACTGTGTGTATTGGCTATTTCCTATAAAATATTAATTAATTGGAAGGTTTGTCGAAGTGATCAGCAATTATTTGTTGTGAGCGGGAAAAATTATGTGAATTTAAAATAATGAAATGCAGATGAATTAGTCTTCATTGTGACAAAATCGGAGAAGAAAGGAAATAATTATTTTATTCAACTATCATCTTTTAGTTAATTAAGAAGTGATTTCCTATATCATTTTACAGCAAAAAAGAAAGCTTATTAAAACTTATCAAGACTTTATAAAGTTTTTAATGATTTAAACAGTTTTAATAATAAATTATAGGTGCAAAATATTAAGGAAAGCAGGAGTACCTAGTAGGGCAAGCCATAATAATAATTCTTTCTTCCAACCTTTTAGTGTTGAATTTTGTTTAAAAAAAAAATCATTAATTTTAAAATTTTATAAAATTTGCTCCTTCATGATTATCTTAGCCTGCGTCGCAGACAGTCTAAATCCCTGATATAGAGAGTCTGTGCAACGGCTCCCAAAACCTTATTCCGGTATCCCGCAGGTTCCCACAGGGATATCTGAATGTTCAGAAGCAATCTTTCAATACTCTGCTATGCAACCGCGATGCTATAAACAATAACATTTGTACTTTTGTATTTTCCTGGGTTTTCTCTTGAATTGTTGTGAATAAAAAGGTAGTTATTAATTACTATTAGGCTATTTCTGAAGAAAAGTGGGAAAGAGCATCTAGAGGTGTAAAGGAGTAGTATGAAATAGATATCTTCTGCTGGAATAAGAAAATTTGTTGCGGGAATTTCTGTTTTTTACAGTTTACCGTAATTCCGCAGCGAATATTGGCTCATTTGACCAAAATAGTCGATAGTTCAAATTTTATCAACATTGCAAATGCTCATGGAAGACCAGGTTTGTCATCTAAATGGTGTTGCAGTTTCTTCAATTCCATTTGAAGTCAGGGCATCCTGATCCTGACTGACCAGCAGTTTTCCAGATCATTTTGATGCTAGTAAATTAACTCTGATTCCATTCAGGCTTTTGAGTTATTCGTTTAAAATGTTCTGTTTGCTCGATAAGTCCTCATCATTTTTTATGAGTTTTCCAACAGAGTTTCTACAGTTTCTAGAAGTAGCTGTTTTCGACCGATCTCAAGCTGTCAAAGACAAATTTAGACTCGTAATTTCAGAGAAAATGTCAAATTGTTTCCATCCCTTAGCTAGCAAAACCCTTTTTCTTATAATACGACAGCATAAATATTGCAATGAAGTGCTGAATCAGACATAACTTGTTTGGCCTTTTGCTATGCAAAGCACTGTTAAAGGTAATTCCATTTTTTTACTGAAACTTGTAGAAATTTATTTTTAGCCTTACGGAGTATTACATGATTTTTGCGTAAAGAAATGTCCAATCACAGAGTGTGTTAGAAATGGAAAGAGATTTTCCTGCAAACTTGCGGGATACCAGAACAGGCTTTTGAGAGCCATTGCGCAGACGGATTATATCGAGTTCTCTGTCTAGGTCTTGAGTGACAAGTTCAGCTGCAACGCAGGCTAGATTATCTGGGCTTGTCTCAATTTAGGAAGTTAAAACTTTGAGGCTATTTTCATTTTTTAAAATTTTTATTTATTATAGTTTGTTTGTTTTTCACTATAAAAAATTGCGATAAAACATTTCTTAAAATCATTTTAAGATTAAAAAAATTGCTAAAAAGCGACGACGTTTCGACGTTTGTTTTGTTTTGTTTTTTGCTGTGTTAGGAGACGTGGTGTCATAACAAGAGTAATCCCCCCCGGAGAAGTCACCAGCCATTCGCCAAACAAAACTGACAAATCAAGGAAATTGTCAACTCCAAAGTCTAAGAAAAATAGCCACTCTGAAGAGAAAATTAAATCACCAAAGGAAAGGACAAATAGTTCAAGTAGTTCAGACAGTCAGCCATTATCTTTGCAGGCTAAAAAATGCAATTCAGACAGTGTGTTTTTGTCATCTCCGACTGGAAAAATTCCCAAAAATGGTTCAGAAGATACTCCTTCAAAATCAAAATCCCGAAAACACAGTGCTGAAAGAAGTAGTGAAAAGACTCCCAACAAATCAAGGAAGCATTCCTCTAGCGGAAAGGGTACTCCTTCTAAAAGTGTGAAAGATGATAAGAGCACAAAGAAAGTTCCATCTACGCCCACTTCCAAGAAAAGTAACAATGAAAAGCTTGCATCTCCAAAAAATAAATCTCCTAGTCAGCTGGGGTCACCAAAGGCAAGCAAGTCACCAAGCTGTAGTAAAAGGATGGGTTCGGAAAGTGAAGTTATAGTTATTGATGATGATGGTGATGATGATAAAGGCAGCAGTTTGAAAGGACCATCTCCAAAGTTGTCATCCCCCAAAGAGAAACCAGTTTATAATTGGCCAGTTGCTGCACTGTATCAGTATGAAATTAGACTTCATTCTGACAGAGGATCTAAAAAGAAGGAGAAGCGACCAGAGATTGTTGTTGTCCAAGCTTCAGTTGTCAGGTAATTAAGAATCAACTTAAAAATAATTAACTTTACTGCTCCAACCCATTTTTAATAAGGTTGGAGACTTCATTAGACACCCTCTAGACTGGAAGTAGTGTCTNTAACAAGAGTAATCCCCCCCGGAGAAGTCACCAGCCATTCGCCAAACAAAACTGACAAATCAAGGAAATTGTCAACTCCAAAGTCTAAGAAAAATAGCCACTCTGAAGAGAAAATTAAATCACCAAAGGAAAGGACAAATAGTTCAAGTAGTTCAGACAGTCAGCCATTATCTTTGCAGGCTAAAAAATGCAATTCAGACAGTGTGTTTTTGTCATCTCCGACTGGAAAAATTCCCAAAAATGGTTCAGAAGATACTCCTTCAAAATCAAAATCCCGAAAACACAGTGCTGAAAGAAGTAGTGAAAAGACTCCCAACAAATCAAGGAAGCATTCCTCTAGCGGAAAGGGTACTCCTTCTAAAAGTGTGAAAGATGATAAGAGCACAAAGAAAGTTCCATCTACGCCCACTTCCAAGAAAAGTAACAATGAAAAGCTTGCATCTCCAAAAAATAAATCTCCTAGTCAGCTGGGGTCACCAAAGGCAAGCAAGTCACCAAGCTGTAGTAAAAGGATGGGTTCGGAAAGTGAAGTTATAGTTATTGATGATGATGGTGATGATGATAAAGGCAGCAGTTTGAAAGGACCATCTCCAAAGTTGTCATCCCCCAAAGAGA